AGTCTAGTGATGATAAAATTATAGGGATCAAAACTTACCTTTTCGATAATTTCAGCCAGGAAATAGCCTGCGAACAGCAGACGCATTTCCGGTCGTCGCTTCTCTTTCTCCGAAATTTTTCAGAGGGAGAGAAGCGACGACCGGAAATGCGTCTACTTTCGCAGGCTAGCCAGGAAAGGGCTCCCGAAAATTCTAAGTGACCTTTTTAGGGTAAAAATCCGTTAAAAATGGGCAATTACTGTACCATTTTTTACTACGTGAAAATTAACTCTGTAAGAAATCAACACGACACCGAAAGAACTCAAAACAGAGCGGGATTGTAGCTATATAGACAGCTGTTTCGTCCTCTTTGGGGCTCGTCGTCAGTATGGCGTAACAACCAGAGAAAACTCTGGTGAAAAATATCCATCTACTTTTCATTTTTGCTGATCAGGTCTTTATAGATCCGACGTTCTTCGGCATATTCGTTTGCGGTCCTTTGCAGTCCTTTGTGGTTAATGTTTGTACCATTTTTTAGATGTTCGAAAGTCCTAGGAGAGGCAGGCAAGCAAGAAATTTTACAACAAATGTTTCGAAAATTCTAGGTCTCAAATCGACTTCCGAGCAGATATTTTCCGAAAATTGACCCTGGGTGCCCCTGATGGTGGTTCATGAGTGAAGTCATCTCTCTGGTCGTTCTGCGGACGGATTCCAGGACTACCAAGACAATTTGGGCGAGTTTTGACTTGTAAACAAAGCAATAGATCGAATATTTCGTTGGTAGGACCGGGTGGCCCAACACGTAAAAAAACTCTTTGAAATGGGAATAGGAGGCGTTCTACGCACACGGTGTAGCTCAATTAACCGGAATTCCTTTCGAGTACGAACGAGCCAAGTTGAGATACGCGATACTGGCTCTAAGAAAATGGCTTAGGCCTAGATACAAATATCGCAAAAAATGGGCTAAATATGTTTCGGCGAAACTCCCGATTTTTTTCCAAATGTTTGGAAATGTTTTTCATAACATCTCGAAAACGTTCTAAATATCTTAAAAATATCTGGCTTCATTTCATAAATATTACTTTAACAGTAAAAAAACATCAAAAAAAAAAAAGCCGGAGAGCCGGTCATCTAAAATGGCAACACAAATTTCAGCAAATTTCAGGATATCATATTCTTTTGCAGCATACAACAAAACTCTAAACAATTCCACATAAAGTCAGCCTTATTTACAATACCAGGGGCGGATCCAGAGGCTGGAGGGGGGGGTCATCCAGACCCTGATATAAGGGGGGGTCGGCCTCAAAATTTTTTCGGCCCTTCGGGCCTCATTTTGTTCTGAAAAAAAGGGGGGGCCCGGGCCCCCGGCCCCCCTAGATCCGCCACTGAATACGCCTCAGCCTACAAGAAGACTAGGGCACTGCACTTTAATACGGGCAGGGATCGTGAAAGACCACTAGGTGCTGGAGGTCTAAAGTGGTCTAAAAGGGACACTACTGTATGGTTTGTGCGTGTCTCAGAGGGTACGTCACAGCCATTTTGTTGAACATGAGCCACATTGAATATAGTATATAAATGGAGAATATTGCCGAATCTGATTGCATCAGTCCCATATATGGAGATTTGTTTGAATCTCTGTCACTGAAATGCCCATGCCCTAATTAGCATTGAAGTAGCTTCCTAGAAAAACATGATTTCACTACTTTTTTCGTAACAAAATCCTAAATATCACAATGTTTACCTAAATATCATGAGATTTTCTAAATATCTCAAAATCTTCTTAATATCTTTAAAAATATCCAGATTGTATCTAGGCCTACAATTTATAAAAATGGCTGAAGCATGTCCAGCGAAAATAACAAGAGAAAAAATTCCAACTACGTAGATACCAAGATATGGCCTTGAGAATTGCTGTAAATGCAGAGTTTCGATTTTTAAATCAATTTTTTGCCTTAAAATTAGACGACGAAAAAGTGTAATTTTTGTTGATGATTTTCGGCCAAAAAACTGCCTTTTTGGACTTCGCTGCCAAACGAACGGTGATATAAAGTGAAAATTGGGAGTTGCAATTGGTTTGTTTGCTTTATAATTGCAAAATCTACCATTTAGTGGTATGGATAAATGTCCAATAGGTTGTGACTAAAATAAGACAAGAAACAAATAGTTAACGCGTGTACAGTGTGTTTTACTCAAATGACAAAAATGCGGTGCTAGGCTTTAAAGGGTTAAACTACTAAATTCCAAACGACACTTTTCATATTTTCAGGGCGTGACTGGAAATATATGTAATGACTCGTATTTTGAACTGCGGATAAAGGTGTGAAAGTGGAAATAATTAAATAAACAACCCAAGCGGTCGAAAAAGAACCGGAAAAATTCAGGCTTGACCAACAAAAGGGCTTTTGAGAAAAATATGAATCAGACAGGATCGGTTCGACCCCTTGAACACTATCCCAAACCTTTTGTCATTAAGTGAAATACAGGGCGGGGTTGATCCAGTCAGAGTCGGACGAGACACGGGTTTTGTTCAGTGATGGTTACATTTCAGTGATGAATCAAATGATGACTTTTGTCGAAGCATTTCGCTACTGTAATAAAATACAAGTTTTAGCCAATTAACTACGGCATGCGTAGTCACGTTTTTGAGCGGAAGCTTGCGTCTCGCCCCTCACACGTGCTCTCGATCTATTGTGGATTTTAAACAGTGATAATACAGCTAAACAAAATTACTGTATTTTAATTTTAAAACAACAAGCATGAGTAATAAAATTGAATGTTTAATAGACTGCTTGCAGTCCGCCTTTGCTCTTAAATCCGTCTAGTTCTCAGTCCAACCCCGTCCCTAGGGTCCTCAGGACTACTAGCCTCACGGAGCGGTAGCTGGAGACAGAGAGGACCCCGCAACCGTGGTTGGCTCCCATCGCATTAAGCGCGATTGCAAACAACGACATTCTTGCAGTCTATTATAGGCAGGAATTTTCAACATTGGTCATAAAAAATTAACCGTAAAAATCTTCTGGCGAAACTGTTCATGCAGAGAAGATTGTTAGGCCTTCATTGGACTTTTCAGCACTGAGGGCTCCCTTACAACCATTTTTTCCATTTTGAAGAGGGTTTTAGAGGACGAAATTGACAAAGCGTAACAACTTTTTCAAAAAATAGATTTTTCATCTTTAAGTGCAATGGATTGAAAATATAATCGTTATAGCCATGAAGACCTGCCTGACGAATGCTAATCCGGTTATGGATTACGGTCGGAGGAGTTTCCATTTCCTCAGCCCAGAGGTCCCCAGCTTGCTCTATATATCAGAGGTTTATCTTACTTCATAATTAAACGTCACTGGAATCTTTGAGTTGTAGTGAAGCTTCACAAACCGCTGCCGGTGCGTACGTAGAAGACGACGCTGTAGACTGATTTCAGATTTATGTCGGCATGAGTATTTGTGTGGGGTCGAGCAGTGAAGTAAAAGTCATACAATCTTTGTCAGCCCCGTTTCTTTAGATTTTCCATATATGTCTTCATAGCGATGTTATTCATTCAAAGATTTTCCAACCTGGCGAATACTCAGACGTTATCGTGAAAAATTCACTGCTGAATGCAGGAATCAGTTGTGGAATGTAGATTTCTATTTGAAACTACCTGCAGTAGCAGCGACATACTGAGCCAGGCTAGCGTGACTTAAGAAAAGTGCTTGGTGACAACAAGCGGATCCAGTTTAATATTTCACACACACTATACTTGTGCGAACTACGAGTCGCTCTTTCAAGTTCGCGTTAACTTATATATTTTCCTTCCCTTTCGCTATTTGAAACTCGAATAGTTCCAGTGTCGAAATGTCTAAGCAGACGAATAGGAGCGATTTGAATGCTAAGAGCACGGCAGGACTGCTGCAGAACTGCAGGAACAAGGAGAGTTGGAAGGCTTGAAATAAGAAAGTGCTTAATTGCGGTGGAAGTTCCTGCTTCAACCGACTCAGAATGGCCGTTTTTAAAAAATCACGCCGCGTCCGCCAAGACGCACCGACGGTGGCAGGGGTAAAAAACATCTCGAGTTGTATGACTCACAAACATAATAACTATCTGATCACAAAACTGTTGTGCGGCGACCGTTCAGCTCATGATCACGCACACATCCTCCATTTCAATACTCCTGTGCGGTGGACTAACCAATCACGAGCACGTTGTTGCATTTCAAAACTCCTGTAAAGCGGACCTACCAATAACGCAAGATTTTTTCCTGTCAAAACTCCTGTGTGGTGGACCTACCACTCACGCACAAGCCTTCCCAGTCGCCCAGTCATCTCTTTCATCTCAGTCATTCCAGGCATCCCAGTTATCCCGTTACCTATCAATTTTTGATATGGCAAATTGAGTTTTGCAATCAACTCCGTTAACTCGAGCCCCCGATAACTCGAACTATTTTTCGTTTCCCTTCAGAGCTCGAGTTACCGGGGTTCTACTTTAGCTGGAAATTTTGAAGCTGGAAATTCATTAGACCTCGCTGTAACAGCGATCGTCGGTTAACATTCGCGGGTAATAGTGCACTGTGCTGACGTCGCAGATTTTTCAATGTTGTCCGCTCAGAGATTCTGGCGGGAAGCAGTTTCATTGTTAGATGTAATGTGACCTTGAAGTAACCAATGAGAGCGTGCGGTGTTGGGAAAACATTTCCCACATTTTTATGACAAAAATTAATATTTCCCGGGGATTTATGACGGACCTATTGATATAAAGGCCTAGATACGTCTTATTACTACAACATCGTGCCGTTTTAAGATGACTAACAATCAGCAAAGTTAGTCTCTTTTACGGCTTAAAGAACGCGAAAATAAATTGTCCGTGAGGCAGAGGAAGGGGAAAATGATATCTCAGCAGAGGAGTAGTGTTGATTATTTGGAATGTCAACATTCAATTACAGTCACAAACTCATACCCATATCTACCTAACATCAATCGGCCAACAACAGGCTTTTTTGCAAATCGTACATCTTAACAACAACGAATCAGAAGTGCATTTTTCTCCTAAATCTCAAAATCAAACTTTAATCCGGTGCCTTTGAGTTTTGCCAACACTTCCTTTTCAAATCTCTCATTCAGCTCTGGAGTAAAATAACTCTTCCATCCTCCCACCACGCCCTTTCGTAGCAACGGCGAACTCTGCTCTTCGTTGCTCAACTTGAAACTATTCTCATTTTCCCTCATGCCCTTCAAAGTACACTGCTGTGCAATGCGATCAATGAGTTCATCGGTCAGTGGCTTTTTCAGGAAGTCAGCTATCATTCGTACATGGGACTGTAAATCCTACAATTAAGAATTTTAGAGAAATGGTGAGACGTGTAAGACCTATCAACACATTACACCAGTAAAACACAGAGATTACATTGTTATATACCTATCATCTCTCACGCATTATGCGTGAGTCTCACGCCTGCGGACTTAAGACATCGATCTCACGCATCACGGACAATTTTCCTACGCCTGACTCACAATCTGAACAAATTGTTCTTTAACACGTAAATATTAACAAAAATTCAATTCAGTTTCCACGATAATCATATTACAGTGCCAAGGGCATAAAACTGGAAGCTGGACTCTGGCGCATTGATTTGAATAGCTCCGCCATAAACGTGGCATTTCCTACTTTTCAAAAAAAGAGCTACGCCCTACAGCGGATAGCAACTAGCCACGAAAGTGATGTAACCATAAAAATAACCATTAAAACAGCGAAGAAATGCTCATGATGACGCATTCACTTAGTACAAAACAAGGTACACGTGGATCCCCCGGGGGGCGGGGGGGGTGGAGGTAATAAGGGTAATTTTTGTACGTGCCGCTGGCCTAACCTCTAAGAGTCCCTACCCCAATATAGTCTATTCTGTGGCCAGTTATAGACCACATCGTAGTCACTTTTGGGCAAATATGTAATTTTCGCGATCCCAACTTACTCACTCTCTATTTTTATGAATTGACCCAATTTTTAGATTGAATGAAGAACACTTTACTTTTGAGCTGCAGTACAAACATTCTGGTACGTTTGCTAATCGTAAATATGAAGTCTGTCTTACCTCAAAAAGTCCGAAAATGTGTGGCCCCATTCTAGTAACTCTATTGAAAATGTAACTCCATTATAGTCAACCCAGTTGTGAAAATGCGACCCCACCCAGCGGCACATCTCCATTAGCCTCTTATGTGGAAGTACTCTCCATCCGGACATGGACACATTTAACGAGATAAAAATTGGGTTTTCCAGTATTAATATTGCCGGTATTCTCAGAGTTAATCTCAGTTGGTTATAAGAAAAATGCTAGGGAGACAAATTTGTCGATCGATCATTTCTTATTTGAATGAGCACGATTATCAGTAGCACCAAGACTGTTAGTGATTGGTGTATTTGATCCTCGCTTTTGGTTGGGGTATTTCCAGTCAAAACGTTATTCCGTTGGCGGTCCGATCCAGTGTCAATCAACTGTTTTTCATTCGCTTGCGTAGCTTTAGAAGCCGTTTTTTTTTTTTGAAGGGAGAAGGGAGAATTTCCCACTTCAGAAGCTATAATGGACTCAATCTTTCGGCGCAACGATTTCTGGGATAGTTTGGGTGGACAAGCGTTACTTATGATTGGTTAATAGTTGCCTTGAATACCATCGACCAATCATAACTAACGCTTGTCCACCCAAACAATCCCAGAAATCGTTGCGCGGAGAGCTTGAGCCCATTCCCCTAATAGTTTCTGTAGTGAGGAATTACGAGGACGCCGCGCTCGCACATGTTCCCCTCGCGGGCGCTCTGGAAAAACTAACCAAATAAAACAAACCACTCCACGCAGTCTAATGAAGTCATTGGCTGTTGCTGCGTACCTTGTGTAAATCTTCATATTTGAGAAACAAGATATTAGGATCGTCTCTGTGTTTCCACCAGTCAAGAACATGGTCATTCCAAGCGTTCCAACACACTGTTCAACAAAAAATTACCGGTAAACAACTGCCTCGTACCCAGACGTCTCTCTCTCGATGAAAATGTGCGCGCAAAGGAAGGCGGGAAGGAGACAACGGGCGAGACTACCGGCTGTACCCTTCCCATGGTCCCTTGCGATTCATCACCAGTCTCTCGCTTTTCGCGCTCACCTCTACGATGAGAAAAACGAAGCACCTGAGGAGGAGGCTGGGTAAACAACCAAAGAATGTGACGTTCCATAAAATACAGTAAAGCAAGTCATTAGACAGCTGCGTTATTTTCAACAGCCTAACGGCATGGAAGGGTTCCAAGGTGAAACCCAACCAATGGACATTGTTTTTGTTCCCCTTAAAGCAAAAAAGGGATCTGTCAAAAATTGTCATCCTCGACCGCCTTTGACTTCGCCTGTGTCATGAGCAACAGAAATGAGCTCCTGGCCCCGGTTGTTCAAACGTTGGATAGCGCTATCCACCGGATAAATCAGTATCCAGCGGATAAGTATTGTTATTAGGGAAACCAATTGCGTTACGGCCACTGGATAAAGATCTATCCATCGGATAGCGCTACCACCTTTTGAACAACTGGCTGGAGTATGTTTGCGGGGCGTCGATAAAACCCGGAACATGGAACATCCCGGAACATTCCGGAACATTCCGGAACATCCCGGAACATCCCGGAACATGAAAAAATTAAAATATTTTTCATAAAAAAAAATGTTATAAAATAATAATAATAAAATAATTTTTGTAAAAATTAATAAGAACGTAAAATAACAAAAAAAAAACGAGAAATAATGAAATAATCAAGAAAATGGGTCGCGAGGAGGGGGTTTTCAAGCTTTCCTCACACAACCACCTCTGGTAATTGTTTGCCATGAGTTAATCATTTGGCGGTTATCCATTTACGGTTCTGCGATGGTCTGAAATGTCAGTGCAGTATTTCATGTCAAGCCAAGTCGGTAAGTAACTCATGTCAAGCCAACATATAGTCTCCTAGTATATAACCGACATTTGCTGACTTGAGGTGCTTTGCTTCACTTGAGGTTGACATGAATTACTTACAGACTAGGCGGCTCTGTAAACTTAAGAAGAGCATAGGGGCTCCTGTCTTTGGATTTTAGTGGGTAATACTCACATTTGTAGTAGTTTCTATACTGTTTACAGTCAGCATGATATTTCAGACGTCTCCTCGAGTCGCAAGAGGAGTTTGCGGGGAGACGACTAAAATTCAGGCTGAATGATAACAGTTAGAAACTACAGCTGCGCTACCACTGCCACTGCAACTATTCTGCGGCGAATGTGAATGTTTAATTTAATTATCCAAGTCCAAAGCGACGAGCCCCTAAGCTCTTCTTACGGTCGCAAAGGCGTAAATTCATAACCCTTAAACCGCATGGCAAACATTTACAAGAGGTGGCTGTGTGAGGAAAGCTTGAAAACCCCCTACTCGCGACCCATTTTAATATATTTTGAATTTAGAAGCAAGCCTTCACTCATAACTGTCATTTGAATGGACCCTCACTGGCCCAAAAAATTCATTGCGACAAAACATTGTTTTCTCATACTCGGAGATGATACCAGTTTCTTTTTCTTTCTTTCTTTCTTTCTTTCTTTATTTTTCGTTTTTATGTTATGTTATGTTATGTTATTTATTTTGTTACTATAAATTTTTGCAAAAATTGTTTTCTATCTATTGTTCTTCTTCTTCTTCTTCTTCTTCTTCTTCTTCTTCTTCTTCTTATTATTATTATTATTACTATCATTTTTATTTAATTAATTAATTATTTTTTCATAAAAAAATATTTTAATTTTTTCATGTTCCGGGATGTTCCGGAATGTTCCGGAATGTTCCGGTATGTTCCATGTTCCTGGTTTTATCGACGCCCACGTGAAGAAAAAAAAAGCCTTTTAAAGTGCGCACGCTCGATGGATAACGAGATCTTGCAACATGAAAAAATTTAATGTTAATATTCTGCATTTCAATTACAGAAAAGGCCCTCGATAAGTACGGAGACATCTCATTAAGACAACTCACCATTTCCTTCTATGAATAACTTGGCATAAAATTCCCATGGCCCACTGAAACCATTACCCGCTTTTCGCCTATGCTCCGTGAAATGAAAATACGATACTGCAATGTCTTTGGGGTTGCGGGCCACGTAAATATATTTGCACTGCATTTCCTTGTTATCACTTTTCGGAATGCTGTTAAGCGGAAGATGACTCTTAAGAATGCGAGGGCTTGGTAAAGTGTCCAGGCTAAACGGGCAAATCATTTCATTGGTAGCTGTTTCAATAAATGGCACTCGATGAGAAAAGTTTGCACTGCTGACTGCCCCCTCGTGGTAGATTTGCCAGACAATTTCTTGCACCCAAGTTGTCCCTGAATGAAAATAATAGATACCGTAATTTTGTGAATATACAGTCAAACCTATATTCGAGGAAACGTCTATTTAGCGGTCACCTACCTGAGTCCCGGAAATCATTTCCCTCAGTTTACAGCTATTTCGAGAAGAAAGGTTGTCGGAAAAAATGTCCACGCTACAATCCCGAAAGGTATTATGGGATATGATCAACACACTCTTCCTAACACTGTAGCTTTCGAACCTCCTTTTGTTGCTTTCGTTTAGCACTCACAAACGTAAGTCCATGGCCTCTTGTGTCATTCTTTCAACTTTCTTTGAAGAACAGTGAGCTCAAAACCACACGCAATACCTTTCGGGATTGTCTCGCGCACTTTTTCCGACAACTTTTCTCGAAATAGCTGCATACTGTAAATCTGACCTGTATTAAACGGTCTCCTTTATTAAGCAGTCGCGGTCACTTTTTCCGAGGTCCCAACGAGTTACTTTTCATTGTCTTCATCTATAAGACGCGGTACCACACATACTAGTGCAGCAGATATGGCGTGAATGGCGTTTACTGGTCTCTTGCTTCCTGTTTCAGCACAAGAAGAGGTAGAGGTACTTTGAGGTCGTTTTTGTTGTGCGATAGATATTTTGCTCTTTTACCAACTTCATTTTTTTGAACAACTCTTAGGTTTGTCAAACCTGTATATAGCGGTCAATAAGCAAGTCCTCCAGGGTAACCTCTTAATACAGGTTTCATTGTATTATATTTAACAATTATTCCTCGCGCCCGAATGGGGTCTGAGTGAATAGCTCACCAGGCCGAAGGCCGAATGGGCGAGAGGAATAATTGTTTTAGCAAAATCCAGCTAGTTGGTCAAAACTATCGAGACAAAACAACTTTAGTTAGCAAAACGCGATTCAGCCATCATAGTTTTGGTTTTCAACGCCGGCGCTTTTCGCTACAAGTGGGCTATAACATGTAGCCTAGAAATAGCTCAGCTAGTAGGCTTGTAGGGAATATCAAGTTTTTACTAGTACTTGATATTCCCTACAAGCCTACTTTACTTTTTTGTACTGCCTACTCTAGACTTCATAGGCAAATTGTGAAACTTGCCACTTTGCGTGACAGGGTGGCTTTGGTGACACTTGTGAACGTTATAGGATTGACGTCATATAATCAAAATATAACAGATAATATTTACATAATATTTAATAAGCATTAACTGCCTACTCTAGACTTCATAGGCAAATTGTGAAACTTGCCACTTTGCGTGATAGGGTGGCTTTGGTGACACTTGTGAACGTTATAGGATTGACGTCATATAATCAAAATATAACAGATAATATTTACATAATATTTAATAAGCATTATAGCATAGCAAAGAATAAGGTTACCTGCTCCTTTGTTCTCTCTTTTTTTTTGGAAAAGAATTGGGGTATGATCGCGTTATCGCCAGATTACGGCACCGCAGGGTCGCCATTCACGTGGGGTTACGTAATCGTTTTGGAACCAGATGACACTGCTTCAAGGTGAATCAAAGTGGGAAATTATTTGTACCATTTTGCTTATTTCAGTTCACTTTAGGTCACTCGAGACGAGGGCCGAGGCAAACTACCATATCGCAAAGCTTTAAAGCCTCTTTTACTGCAAGTTTAACTTCTTAACGTACCTGATTTGGGATATGTGGCTATAAAAACGTCATCCTGTCTCGTCTTAAAATTAAAAATGTAATCTCTGAGGAATGCGGGATCGCTGGTGAAAAAGTTTGGAAGCTTCACCCCCAAAATATCATACCATTTCTCGGACGTCCACTCGCCTTGTGTTAACTGAATCAGTGGGAAACTGGCCATGACATTAAACAACACGCATCTACTTAGTACTACCGGCGACACGATGTTTTTGCCTGAAGGAGTTGATGGCAGCAACCAACCGTGAAATTGATATTCAACTACGGTACTCCGTTATTTTTGTGACGTCACGCAACACTCCTCCCTTTACGCTACGCTCTTCTTGAAAACGCTTCAAAGCTAACATGCGATCAGGCGGTATTTCTTCCCTTTTTATTGAAGGCGAGGAGAAAAGAACCTCTTTTCACTTTTGCTGCCCGTCCGCCGACTTTCGCGCTTGTCTGAAAACATAAAAGAAAAACGTCTGATCGCGGCTGGCGATCACCTAACCATGGTAAAAGAAGCAACTTTGGAATGACTGAACGCCAGAATACCATCCTCGTAAAATTGCTCAATAGACGAGGCTGACCTAGGTTGAATTATTAAAACCCATTAAAATCTATGCAGTTGGAAAGTTGTGTCTTTAATTTACAAATAGTCATACGCTATTATCATTCCCAAGATACTGTACTTCCTCGAATCATCGCCGAGGATTCGAGGGAAGGCGATTAATTCAAATATTGTTTACTGGAAGTCGTGCCCTAAATAAATGTGTTTTTGCTTGGGGATTGCTAAAATTGCGTTTCAACTAGACGCTGTAAAATTCGCAATTGAACTTATTCTTCGGATTCAAAACAATGACCAAAGTTCCGTCTGCACGTGCTCTTTTGGGTGAGTCGCCTGAAAAAGCAAGCGATCGCGAGTGTCGCCTTCGCTTAGTGCAAGGGAACTATAATAAATGAACATCATATGGGTGACCTTACAAGTTTGTATTATAAGAAAAATATAAGAGCCTTTTTACGCCGCGAACATGATGAAATAGAAAACTTCACCGGCCTTTTCTCAAAAAAAGGGAATAGTCCCGCTTTAACTTCTGCTCCCCAGAAAAAGCTACAATGAAATTATTTAAATTTATAGTTTAAATTCAATCAAATTTATTTAAATCGCTGCACTTCGTTCATTTGTGGTAAATAAATGCATATTGATTCTGAGGTTTCCCCGGTTAGATAATATGTGAAAAACTCCTCTACACCGCCACAAGTTTTCCGAGTGGTGCGCTGTTTCGGAGTGATTTTTATTTCACCAGGTTCTTTTCTTTAGTTGTGTTCGTCTCATCTGCTCAGCTTTATTATTTCTGTAGTGTCTGCTAAAATGATCCGTTAAAAGATATGTCGAATAAAGCTTCAGTAGGAGGTCACGAAAGGAGATTCGCATTTCACCTCAAGTATGGTTTCAAGCTGTCAACGGTCAGTGTTTGGCTGAATTTAAACAATGGCTTCCTGGTCAGATGGGGGACAAATTTTCCCCCATATTTCGGTCGCTAAGGCTTGCGGCTCGCCAGTACTTTGGCTTACAGTATTAGCCTCAGTTATTGCCTAATTAAAGAGCACAGTGGGCTTAGGAAAATTCTCAAGTTTGGTGTTAATCAAGAAAATATTAAATAAGATACAGCTACTTAAAAACTTGAAAATTTGGTAGATGTATGGATTGCTAGACCGCGTGTAGCCGCACCCTCCCCCCCCCCCTCACCTCCGACAAAGGAAAAACGGAACTCCTTCTCCCAGTTTTTCCTTTGTCAGGGGGAGGGTGTGGCTACACGTGGGCTATGGATTGCCAGACACACTGTCTGGACGTCTATATATTTCTCAGTAAATTTTGGACTATTCAAATGGCTATATCTTGTTCAATATACTAGGCCCGACAAACACCAAAGTTGAGGATTTTGTAAATCTCAGTTTCCTCTTTCTGACTTTGTCGGTCTCCCCATAATAAACGAATTCGTAACCAGGCCTCCTCGGTTTGAAATTAGGCAATAAATTTAAAGTTTGACAAATAATACCCTCCACAACGTGAAGCAGGACTGAAATGGTCAAAGAAGACGCAGCCATATGTGGGCACGAAACCCAAAAGGTGACATTTTCTGCCTATTTAAAAGTTCAATCAACCACAAACGACAGAAACTTATTTCAATTAGGCTTCAAAAGGAAATGAAGGATAACTTGTGAATTTTTCTCGTACAAGGTGGACGGCGGCTAGTTATCAAGATAAGCCAAATCGAGAACATTCCGGGCGAATAGTTAATCTTGAAGTAATTTTCCTCAACGAAAATTGGGGATTACGTTTTTGGGTAATCGTTTCATTTAATTAAATTATAACAAGAGTGATTGTAATGAAGATTTATTTCATTGTGTCTCAGTTTATTTCATTCTAAAAGCACCAGCTTATGACGTTGACAAGTCAGTCGTTTGGATACAAAACGACAATTCTTGAAGTGTAACTGTTTGTTTGTTTGTTTGTTTGTTTTGTTTTTTTACCCACAGCTCTACAAGCAATTTTATTGTTTCAGTAGATTGCCCCCTTTTTTCTCAAAATCAAAATCTAACCCTGTTCCTGTCAGTTTTGACAATACTTCCTTTTCAAATCTCTCATTTAACTCTGGAGTGGAGTAACTCCTCCAACCACCGACCTCGCCCTTCCGTAGAAGAGACGAACGCTGCCCTTCGGTGTTGTGAAGCTCGAAACGTAAAATATTTCATTTCGCCTCAACTCCTCAAACGTACACTGTTCTGCAATGCGATTGATTAGTTCATCTGACAGTGGCTTGTTCTAGACAGCAGATTTGCAATCATTCGTACATGGGAAGGAAGATCCTAGGACCAGCTGAGCTGGGTTAGTTTAGAATTCAAAAGACTGAGTCTAGACTGCGCCACAGACGAAATCAGACCGCTGAGTTGAATTGTGTCTGCGACGCAAGTACTGCTATATGTTACTACTATATTGATTGTTAACGGAAAAAGACTGGCGATTTTCACGTTCTCTTATGATCTGTGAAGAAAGTTGGGACAGTTTAAGGTGTTGAATAGGTCACGATCTTGACAGAGAGAATGTATATCTTGTATATCTGACTGAATTAATGTCAACATGGCTTCAGTGAGTGTCTACAGGTCCTCAGCTAAGTATGTCCTTGGTACCAAGACTTTCACCCTCCCCACCCAGGACACTGACTAACTATCTGCGCCTCCCATTGAACTCCGCAATGATCATGATAATTATTGTCAGCAGAGGCCTGATTCAGCCGGCAAGGGTAAAGTAAGAACAAGGTACTTGCCAGTCAAAGCCTCTAGTGAACAGTGCTGCTTACTGAAGGGGTTGTGTCAAAATAGACCCCCCTTACCCCACTAGTTCTGCCCCCAGGCCTGATCCACCCCCTGACACAAGGCGAAAACCTAGTGGCCAATTTTTACCGTATTTAGACAGATATAAATATATTTGTTTGCCGGCACTGACACAGGCCTCAGATCAGTTGAAAAAATCCCACCGCTGCAAGATCGAGATAACGCAACATTACCTTGTGCAAATCCTCATATTTTAGAGACAATATGTTGCGATCATCTTTATGTTTCCACCAGCCTAGAACATGGTCATTCCAAAAGTTCGGACCAACTAGACTACAACCCTGCTCAAAACGTCTTGGGACACTTAAGGAAATTAGGCACAAAGACGCACTTTGCTAAATTAACTCATATTCTACCTCTTAAAAAGATTGGGGGTTTTGTTATAAGGGGCTATTTCCGCTGTCCCCCTCTCCCCTAAGCAGTGTTGATTGTGTTGAATTAAAACTTGAATACATAACGTCAACACTGCACCGAGGGGGAAGGGGGGAGGGAAGATGCCTCAATTTGAGGAGCTAGTGTCCCAAGAGTTTTGACCAGGGTTGTTGGCTCTGTCACAGCGATGATGCGTGACCTCTGTTTATTCTCCTGTAACGTCATTTACATTTTTAACTTGCAATTCACTTAAAAATCGAGCAACATTTCAAGCGTAAAATTTGTTTTTTTATGACATACAAAAGTTTAAAGCTTCCTTCTGTAAACGAACCGAGGAACTTTAATTTAATATTATCGTAACATCTAATCAATCTATTAGGGACTGCTCTATAAGGAATTTTATAGTGTTGAGGGTCCACAATAGGTTTGGCGGCATGCGGGTTTGGCTATTTTTCGTGGTGATACTCGGGATGCAAGCTGAAAACAGGAGCGGGATGCTGGAATTTTAATAACCAGCGGGAGCGGGATATCCTATTTTAATGGTGATGGTATGCGGGAATCGTAAGGGAAAAGTAGCGGGATACGGAAATTTAGTTTTGTAGTTGACTAAAAATTTATTAGCGTTGACTGAAAAAGATGGCAGAAAAGCAGTCGAATCATCGTGAGACAGACAGATAACCTCAGCTCAATCTACCTAACTCCAAAAATACAGGACTTAAAATATCGAAGTAAACACAGTGTAACAATGCGCGGACGAAAAAATAAGCAAAACTGAGAAAATAAAGTTACGGTCACTTATTGTGATGCTGAGAACCTTGACCATCAAAACCGACAATTCTTAGAAGGTAGGTCTTATATACCGTCTATTTCAATAATCAAGCAAAATATCTCGTAAAAAAATGGGACGGGATCGGGATTCGGGTGTAAAATAGGGCGGGATAGCGGGATTCAGAAGAAAAAAAGGTGGGAAAGTGGAACCTGAGAGCCCCTATTGTGGACCCTCAGTGTTATATATCTTAGTTCTTAACCCGAGGGGGGGCTACTCCTGGGAATTCTTGGTGCGGGTGTTCCGGCCGATTCTCCAAGTCACGCCTGACCCGCTTTCAGACCAAACACACGTTTCCACACCTTTTTTCAGACCTAGCCTTTAAAATATATATACCCGTTTTCAGACCCGGCCGGCCTTTGAAAAATTATGTCACCATTGTCTTTGACAGTTGACGAAAAAATTTTGCTTTTTGACGGTTGACAGTTAATGCCATTATGACCCTTTATTTTACAGGCAAACTGACTGAGAAAATCGTGGATACCTAAGCTTAAATTCATATTCTTCGGGGAATTACATTGCAATTAGAACAGTCACACTGACAGACCTGATTTGAAAAAAAAAATCGGTGATCAGTTTTAGGTTTCTCGGAAACTGCCGCACCTACCCCTAACCTAAGCCAATATTTAACAATCAATGAA